CTTAGAAAATGACATTATGCTAGTAAAGGAAGAGGGTCAGAGAAAGGAAGACCTTTAACAAGAAGTAATGACACAGTGACTGTAATAATAGGGTCGAGCATGACAGAGGTCATGAGGATGGCGCAGGATAGAGCAAGATATACATCTATTGTTTCTAGGGTCTCTCTAAGTTGTCGGCAATTTGAAGGCACCTAATATAATAGCAACTATTAAAGACAATGTTTTCCAACTCCATTTCCGTAGTTCTTTCTTCTCTGCTATGTTATAACCACCACCACCACCACAACCACCATTAAGACAATAGTATCTACTAGTCCACTTAATTTACTATGTGTCAGGCTCTATTTTAAGTGATTTATACATATTTCTTCATATATTTTGAAAGCAGGAGTGGCATCCACTTCCTAAACCATATGCCTCTGGAAACACTATGAACTTTGATAAATGATGACAGTTATAGAAATGTTTCAGGCCTTTTGTTCATAGGGTAGCTATGAGTCGTGCAACAATTTCATACATAATTACTACATTCTTTGGGAAGAAGAAGAGATTTTAGGAAACTGAAGCACATGGGATGGGTGAACATGAGGAGCAAGATTTGAAGGAACTCTTAGGCAGTGTGATACTAGGAAGTCAAATTAAGTTAGGAAATAGAAAAGTGAAAACAAGATTGGGTCAACAAAATGTGTGAAAGTATGTGAAGATGAGTACAAAAAATGGACCATGCAGCCAAGGGCAGGAGAAAACAGCTCACAAGGATCTGAAACTCAAAACTTAAAGTCATTCATTGCCTTTGAGTTGTAACTGACTCATAGGTGATCCTCTACTGGGCTGCCAAGACTGTAAATCTAAAAGGAGAAGACTGCTCATCTTCTCCCACAGAGTGGCTTGTGGATATGAACTGCCAGAGAGATCTTTGGGTTAGCAGCACAACTCATTATGGACCAGGCCACCAGAGTTCTCCCACAAGGATAGAGAAATCAAAAGTGATCAAAGAAAGTTGGTATCACCATTTGTGACTGGATCCCGTCCTGTTTCAGAAGTAAAATATGTTCTATTTTGAAAAAGCAAATAGTCCAGTTCTTAGGGCCACACTGACTAATATAAAATATAACAGACTCTTGGAACAGTCCCAGTGATATCTCTAAAGGGTAATTTATTATGTTAATATCTGAATAGAGAGCATTGTTCTGGAATAGTCACAGCAAAAATCCTCTAGGGAAAAGTGGAAGAACCAGTCTGAAAACACTGCAGAGAAGGCAGGGCTTCACCCCAGGTAGCAACGTGTTAACCAGGTAATGCCCATCCATCCATCCCGACTCAGCCAAGCATATTAGGACATCCCTGCTGACCAGCCAGAGGGAGCCATAAAATGATCACATGGGACTATGTTTCCAAGTCTGACTTGCTTAGGGCATGAAGGCCAGCACATGACCCTGTTCAGCATATAGTCCAGACAGAGCAGAAAGCTTGAGTTTGACATTCGTTGTCAGTTATTCTACTAGCTCCTTCTTGTATCAAGCTCAAATTTTTCCAGTCTATAAACTAGCCATACAACAACCGAATAACTCTCCCTTCATGCTGTCATGCTAATCCTCCACTTTGGGGAATGAGTTGTCCACACTTCCTGCCTCCACACTTTCACCTCCCACGCACAGCTCAAGCCTTTGCTCTGTGGTTTCTTCCCACCATCATTTCACTGAAACAGTTTCTAACAAGGTCACCGATGACTTTTTCAATCATTTGAAAGCAAAATATCAGATTCAACAGACCCAATCTTGTGCCTTATTTTATTTGACCTCACTATGCCATCTAATTATCTGGGTATTTCTTCTTTCTTGAAATTCTTTTAACTCGTGGCCCTACTGTACTCTTTCCCAATCTAATCTGTAATAACAAATACAGCCAACTTCTACTAACTACTTCATAGACACTGTTCTCATTTGACAGCGTCTCCTAGGCATCCTCACTCATGTTTACTGATACAGGACTCATCAGCACCTTTCACCTGGACAATCTCCTCTAGGTCATACATTTAAATGGTCATTAAATATATCACTCTAAATGTACCATGGAAATCTTAGGATATCCCCAAATACTCATAATTTTATCCCGAAACTTCCCTACTCTTTCTGGATTTCCTCACCATCTTGTTGCTAAGTCAGGAATCAGAGAATTCTTTTTGACTTTTCTCTCTTCCCACCTGTTTGTTCTCCTAGCAGTCCACGGTATAGTCAATCCTCTTTTCCAGCACTACAACTTAAAGGTATCAACTCTCCTTCTATCATCCCCAGTCATTGTCCAGCTTTCTGATGCATAGCAAGTAATTGCAAAGACTATGGCCTGGATCAGGCACCCCTTAGTCTCCATACGGAATCATTGCTCTTCAGTACTCAGGCAAGGTCCCGGACAGCGGAGAACAAACAGGTTCATCTGGAAGAGGGTGAAACCAGGTTGCTAGTTGGAGGCAAGATACTGAAGTTCCATTTGACATACTTTGGGCGTGTTGCAAGGAGGCACCAGTCCTTGGAGAGGGATATCATGCTTGAGAGAGTAGAGGGACAGCTCAAGAGAAGAAGAACCTAGATGAGATGGATTGACTTAGTGAGTTGGGTAATGGGGATGGGTGTGTCAGAGACAATGAGGTTGGCTCAGGATAGAGCTGGGTTCAGAGCTGTTGTACAAAGGGTCGCTATGCATGGCACTTAACAACAATTAACTCTTCTCACCCAATGAGTTGGAGAGTCTGTCTCAGCCCTTATCTCTCATCCACATGAGAGCCTCCCAACTGGGGCTCCAAGTCTGCAGCCCCCGCCCCCTCAAATGTGTCTCCATAAAGGCCACCAGAGTGGTAGGCCTAAGCTCCTTGTCCCTCTCCTGCTTAAAGGATTCCAACTGCCAACTGTTTCCATTTCATTTCTCCTCTACTTCTTTCTACCTTGTGCCCACAGAAAGGCCAGACCTTAGAGAGCAGATATCCACCGGCTGGGGTTTTGGTCATCAGTCTTAGAGATTTGGGTATGAAACAAGAGGATCCATAGGAACCATTCACAGGTTCATGAACAGACCACCACCCAGTGACAGCTTGCACATGGCAGGTTCTAGAAGTGGAAAACACATGGGCTGGATGTTACAGCTGAGGCAAGAAGTATAGCCTTTCACAGTGGGAAGGTAAATACGTGGATCAGGTGAGGAAGAAGAAATAAAAGTCAAAATACTGTGACCATAGTAAATGATCCACAGGGAGGTCAAAGCCTTTAAATCCTAATTGCTGGGAGCCCAGCACCAGGGAACAAGATTTAGGGGTTAAAACAGAACGTACACAACTCTGATGGAGGTAGAGGAGGAAGATGCAGGAGGAAACTGTAACTTCTCTAAGACAGAGCCTAGAGAGATGAGAGAGAAAAACGGAGACCTGTGGACCTCTGGTAACCAAGGTCCTTGTGAGAAGGCAGAAGTTCACAGGAAGTCAGCAATAGCCAGGAGTTACACCAGGTGACCTTTTTTCCCCTTTTAATTATTAAATTTTATTAATTTTAATGAACATTTACAGAGACAGGTGACCTCTTAAATGTGGGCTTCTGGATGGTGAAGGGCCATTCATTCACTAGGCAGATTCAGAGAGACTGGTTGGATTATTTGATTTACTCTTCAAGAAAGAGGATGGATATCAGGGAAGATTCTCATTCATACAATGTCTTTGAAAGCTGCCAGCTATTTAGAGTAAAATATTGGTAAATGTAGACATTGTTTTTGACCTTATCAACTATATACACAGCTCACCAAGTTGATGCCAACTCAAAAGTGAAGTCCAAAACGTTGCCAGTATTGGAAACAAGCAAGCTTCCAGAGTAATTATTTTTCATAAAAACTGAAGGCCCAGAAGACCGCCACATAAAGTAGCGCAACAGCTTATGAAGTTAGGTGCCCTGCAGATCCATGTTCAAACCCAACAGTGCTGAGAAAATACCACCTATGATTCGGTTCAAGAGCTTACCCCGTATAGGTCACACTGCATTGTCAAGTGCAGGCCTGTGGCGACAACCCAACAAGGTCGCTGACCTGAGCAGTGCTCCTTTCAGCAGGCTGATGCCCAGGGCAGTAGGTCCCGTCGGGCAGCCAGCCGTCCGCCGGGGGCCTGAAGCGCCTTTGTCCCCTACACCCTGGACAGCACCCGTGGAACAGGCCCTAGGGAGGAGCCAGAAGGGGGAAAGGGGGCGAATCGGCCTCAAGGAGGAGTGGGGCTGGGGGCGCCTCAAGTGCGGCGCGGACAGGCGGGGCGGGGGGCTGCTGGGTGGTGATTGGCTGCGTTGCAGCAGGCAGCTCCCGGCCGAGAACAAAAGAGAGCGGCCGGCGGGCGTCCTCCGGAGTAGGCGCTCCCGCCCGCCCGGCGCGGGCTTCGGTGCTGGGGGAGGACGCACCCACTGCCCGCCCGCCCGCCGAGCAGCCGGGCCGGCGCGCTCGCTTTCTCCGCGAAAGCTGGCCGTGTACCTAGGAATTAACCGGCCGGCGCGGGAGGGGAGGGGAGCGGAAAGCCAAGCGGGGGGGATGCTGAGCGCGCGCGAGAACAATAATAAGATCGTGTTTGCGGTCGCTGCCCGAGGAGGAATTCGGAGGAGGCGCGAGGCCCGGCGCTCGCGCCGCGCCCGGAGCCGAGAGAAGCCAGCGGCGGCGGCATGAATCAGGCGGCTCAGCGCGTGTGAGCAGCGCGCGGCAGCGGCGGGGCCCTCAGCGCGGCCGGACGCTGACGAGCGCGCCACAGCCGCGGGCTCCCCTCCCCCGCTGTCGGGCAGTGATTTGCCGGGCCTGCTGCGCCCCCCGCCCACCCCTCGCCTCGGCTGTCGCCTGTCCGCGTCCCTTCGTCGGAGCGGCCGCTCGCCTGCCCGCCCGCCCAGCTCGAGGCCCGCGGGGAGCGCGGCGCAGTTCGTCGGCCCGCAGGGGGGCAGCCTCCTGGCATCTTCGGCGGGGACCAAGGACGATCAGGAAGGGGAGCGGTCAGGATGGCGCGTCCGCGGCCTCGAGAATACAAGGCGGGCGACCTGGTTTTCGCCAAGATGAAGGGCTACCCGCACTGGCCGGCCCGGGTGAGTACGGCGGCCGCGCGCGGGCCCGCCCGCCCACCATTTTCCCCTTCATGATGGCGCGCCCGCCCCTTTCCCCATCGCCGCGGCCCGAGCGCCCGCCACTGCCCGCCGTCACGGGCCGAGGGCGGACAGGACCGGGCCCGGGCTGGGGGCGACCTTCCGAGCCGCGCCCGTGCCCGGCCAACGCGGCCATTCTTCCTCCGCCCACCTTCGAAGGCGGGTCCGGCCTCCGCAGGCCCGTCGCTGCTTCCCTGCTGTAAAGCCGGTGGTGGTGGAGAATCGGCGCCCCCGGGGAGCGGGCCTAGGGTGGTGGAATCGGGTCCCGGGAGGGTCGATGGTTCAGTGCCCCGCGTCGCGGGCGAACGTCGGGGCTGGTCGGTGAGTGCGGTGCAAATGGCCGTCCACGAGCCGGCCCCTGAGTGGCGCGACAGATTCTGGAATGGAGTGGTGGTCGTTCGGAGGCCAGCAGAAGCCTCTTGGCCGTCATTCGTCCATCTGTCCGTGCATCCTTCGCCTTCTAGACTTGTTGAGTTTTGCCTGAGTGCGATTCTGCATGTCCCTCCTGCTCTGTCTAGCATTGTCCTGGGGTACAGGGCTTCCTGGTACTGGTGGTTCTTTTAAACAGAAAATACCCAAGAGCTCCCAGCTTGGCACTGGCTTGTGGGTCCAGCGAGAACCTTATGCCTTTTCACCTCCATGTTTGTTTTAGGTCTGATCCCAAACCTTAACCTTGGCCTTCCGCCACAGTCCACAACAGCCCATCCTATAGCTAGCTCGTTGCTGGGATCTTTTTTCTAGAAAGCATATACATATAACAACAGGATGAATTTTTAAATTATTATACTGTTCGAGTGAGTTAGAATATGTGGATATGTTGTGTTTTTAGAGAGATCCTTTTTATTTTTAAATTTCGTTATGGTTACCAGTTGATTACTTGGAATAAATGCAGTGAAAAGGCGATTCAAGTCATCTTGGATGCTTGATTGCTAATCCATGAGGAATAGAAATAGATTGTCAGGGGGGAAATTGGCATAGACTGTGACTGAAATGTTGCATTATAGTCAAGCAAAGATAGCTAGGGCCCCCACCCCTTAAAAAAATACACACATCCCAGAAGGAAGTGACATCATGGGTGGACAGACTGATGTTAGTGAACTGATGGACATGACCACTGTGTTGCATATTTCCTTTGGAAGAGATCGTACTTGTAGAATGAAAAGAACACTTGGCCAGAAATTGGGGATGTCTGGTGTCTGGTTCAGGCACAGCTTCAGGGATAATCATTGCAGCTGCCTGAATATTCCATTTCTGTCACTATAAAATGATCAGCTCTAGGATTCCTTCCAATATTTAACAGCCTTTGATTTAGATTTGAAAAAGTAGTCTTACTCAGGTTCCATTAAGCTAAGAAAACTTTCTCCATGTGTGAACTGTAAGGTGTCCTTAAAAAAGACAAAGTTTTCATACTATAGTATATTGTTTAAAGGGATAGATTTGTGACTTCAGGAATCCTTTAGAGACTCACTGTCTATTTTTTAAGTCAGAAATACAGCCCTAAGGCTATATAGGCACACATATTTGTGTTTTCAAAAATGGATTAAAAGTTGTCATTGTCAGTTTGACATTTTCTTGTCGTATATTTGCTTTCTTTAATCTTACTCTTGAAAAATGTCTTCAGAGCCGCAAAAAGAAGACAGACTTAAAATTCCATTAACATGTTACTTGTACAAGTTGGGGTTCTTTAGTTATTTGTCAAATAGTGAGACAGAAGTGACCCTAGACACATAGTCTTAGGAAACAACTCAGCTAGTTAGCATAACGTTTTGCAGAAACCCTGCTCTACATCCTGATGCAGAGAGAAGCATCTTAGATCTTCAGAGCTTGCAAGCAGCCGTCTATGACCTAGGTGAGTCTGCTCACCAGAAGCCAGAAGGAGGAGGTAACCAGCTCTACGATGAAAGAAGTCTTCTGGGCCTTATTTACCTTCTGACACAAAGAACTAGATGGTTCCTGGCTACCACCACTGACCATTGTGACCAGAATCACAGTAGATAGTCCTGGATAGAATGGGAAGAAAAACATGGAGCAGAAAGAAAATTCTTGGTGGAAGAATTAAAAAAAAAAAAGAAACCTGGCAAACTAAAACAGTGAAGAACAGCAAGCTCCCTAAGGCAGTTGACCTTAGAGACTGAACCAACAGCAGAGCCTCTCCCCTGTGATCAGCTTTTAGCAAAATAGCAGAGTGGCTCAGAAATACAGTATGTAGAAGGTCAGTGCTTTACCTAAAAACACGTTAGTATGAGACAAAAAGGTCACAATTACACAGAAGCAAAGATAAAAAATGGGGGCAGGGAAACTAGAGTATGAGACATGAAGCAAACAGAATGTAGAGAATGTTGTGATAAATGTAACTAATGTCACTGAACAGTTTGTACAGAAATTACCAAATGAGAACCTAATTTCCTGTACACTTTCACCAAAAACTCAAAATAATTTTTAAAAAGAATGGAGATGGGAACTCAAGCCCTGGAGGTATAGGGGGTGGAGCAGGCAAGCTGTGACCTTGGTTGTGTATCTAGTTCCTAGACATTTTCTTCCAGACCAAGGCAAACTGGAAAATAAAATGAGACAAAACTTACAGAAATTCTATGTCTAGTTCCTTAACATAAACTCCTAAAAGAAATAGAGTAAAAAGTATTATAATGTAGCGTGTTGCAATTTCTAAGGAAAGGTAAAGACTAGAAAATGTAGAGAAAGATATTTTAAAGTTAACTACTGTTTGTTAGTTTCTGTGCTGTCTGGTTCACATATTTTTTTTTTTTATCCCAATACTATGAGGCGTTCTTTTTAAATCTTACTAAAACTTTGTAGCTGAAGATCTTAATACTATTAAAAGATCTTACTTAATCAAATTTCAAGTACTGTCATTTGATATGCAGGACAGCCATGTGGATTAGATGCAGTGTGCATGCAAGGCCTCCTAACTAGAAGGAGAAAAACATCAAAAGGACAGATTTCCATCCATGATAAGGGGAAGAGCTTTCTAAGAGCTGGTCCATCCTGGAAGGAAGTTCATTCCTCACTCTAGGAAATAAACGGGTTTGATAGTAACCTAACCTGCTCCTTATAAGGATTGTGGGCCAAGAGTTGAGACATTAAGAGACTCTGGACAAGTTCTCTGCTTTGTATAGACTGTGTGATTATTATTTTTTTTTACATGTAATTCCTTAATTTTAATAAATATTGTAAAAGCAAAGATACAGTGATGGTTAATTTTGTGTGTCAACTTGGATGGTCAAACTGTTAACAGTGGTTTTATCAAATGCTAATGTACTTGCTATCCCTTCACTGAGTGTATATGTAAGTAAATTAATTTGTTTTTTATATAGACTGATTTTTGAAGATGTTGCTGAATCTTACTAAATTAATTTACTAGTGTATAAAGGAAGGATAATTCATAGCTTACAGATTGATAGCGTATAAAAACATCAAGCAGTGGTGGTTAAGTGGTTCATTTTTTGTAATTTCTAGCGCCTGTATCACTATGTTAAATTATTTTTATTTCTATTTTCAACTCAGTGTTATCTTTTCAGTAGATAATGTTTTCCCCTGAGGAGTTTCAAACATAGATAAGTTAAACAGTTGTACAATAAACACCCATATAGCTACCATCTACAGACTTCATAATGTCTTACCTGCTTTGTCAACTGTCTGTTCATATACCTAATCCTCTGTCCATACCAGTAGTCCATTTTATTTTAATGCATTTCACATAAGTTGCCTGTATCAGTATAAGCATGTGCACTGATTAAGTAAAAGTCAGTATTTTCTTTTCAGTCCTCCCTTTTTTCTTTTGAAGTGAAATTTACATGACAAAAAATGTATTTATCTTATTTACCTTAAATGTACCATTTAGTAATTTGATAAAAATATACACTAATAAAGTCTCAACCATTATAAAGATACAGATTAGTACCACTACCTGGGGAGTTTCCTTCATATCTAATTCCAATTGAGTTTTGATCCCCCTTTTCTACTCTTCAGAGGTGGTGGTGTACTTGTAAGCAGCAGCTGTTTCTAACATATTACATTTTCTTGTGTATAGCTTTAAAAATGAAGAGTCTATGCTTATTTACTGGTTTTAATTATTTTTTAAAAATATTTTTTTGTACTTAAAGAATGCTTGGGGGTTTTTTAATGAGTGGGTTTTTTAAAATTCATTTTAATGAAAGATTACAGAGACTTAGGGTTTCCAGTCATTCAAAATAACAGTCTTTGAAGCTTTTAATTTTACCTGTGGGTAAATTATTTTAGCATACATCTCTAATATGTGAAAATTTACTTTGAAAGGGAATGTGTGTGTGGGGGGGGGGGGTGAAAACTCATTGTCGTTGAGGTGGAACTGACTCAGCTGATTCTCCACAAGATTTTCTGAGGCTGTAAATCACTGCTCATCTTTCTCTGTGGAAAGGCTGGCAGGTTTTAACTGCTAGAGGCACCACTTTTGGGTTGGCAGTGCAGCAGACTAAGCCATCAGAGTTCCCTGTGTGTGTGTTTGTTTGTGTGTGTTCGTACTTGTTGTTAAGTGACATTGAGTCACCTGTGACTCATAGCAACCCTGTGTACAACAGCCCTAAACACTGCTCTATCCCTTGCCAATCTTATTGTCTCTAATACATCTGCCCCCATTACCCTAATCACTAAAAAATCAATCTCTCATCGAGGATCTTCCTTTCCTGTGCTGTCCCTCACCCTCCCAAGCGTGATGTCCCTCTCCAAGGACTGATCTGCTTTGCACCATGTCCAAAGTATGTCAGACGAAGCTTTAGAATCCTTGCCTCCAAGGAACAGTCTGGCTTCACCCTCTCCAGGACAAACTTGTTTGTTCTCCTAGCAGTCCATGGTATATTCAATACTCTTCTCCAGCATCACAGCTCAAAGGCATCAATTCTCCTTCTGTCATCACTAGTCATTGTCCAGCTCTCTGATGCATAGCAAGT